CCCATGCAAGCTGATGGACAAAACTCTCAACCCCAAATGACCTAATCTCAATTCTCACTACCATAATTTGGATCACATCCGCCCAACATGCTGCCCTAAACTTTGGCCGTATACGGTGGTTACGTCCCAACTCGCCCACCACACATGAGAAGACTAGTGCCTAGACCAATCGTACATAAATGTTAGGTATTTTTCATCTTATTTTGTTTCCCGCATCTCTAATCTCTCTTATCATTTTTTTGCTTAAACAAAGATAAAATTGATCCAACTTAAACATCTCCGTTCTCAATGTATAGTGCTATGTAATTTGGCAAATTAAGGAGAACACAACAAGCTTTTGTTCTTCGCCATTGTTTTCTTTTTCTTCAACAAAAAAACAAATTCCAACTAATAAACGAAGAAAAATTGAGGTCGACAAGGTAATATCCACACATATACATAAATTGAGATTAGGTCATGCCCGATATGAAATCATATTCTCCAACATAACTTCCAAGCTAGCTAGCTAGGTCTATATATAGTTATTGGATGTGGTAGGCTGATCAAAATTTATAGTAACTGAAAATATTTGAAATCCTAAAAATCAAAACCCTATATATACCAGGCCAAATTTATATATATAGTTATGTCAATTACCATGGGCATGTTTAATCCCAATGTTCACAATATTTCAAGTCCACTGGATTATACTTATTCTGCCATTAATCTCTTTCCTTCAACAAAGAGAATGAGATTCCAAGAAAGGAAGACAATCAAAACGGAGGATGCTGTCGCAGCCCGACTTGCTGTTGATAAGGCGGCTGGTCGTCGTGGTGTTGCACGGCAATGGGACAATAAAATGGTAACAATGTCAATGTCCTCCTCATCTGTTGTTGCTGATGAAGCAGAAAAGCCCGTGATGGCTTTGGACCTCTCTGCGCTGGTGACTGTAAGGAGACCTCTGAAGTCAAATATCCAACACATGATACGTCACTGGTTTGGCGGCAACCATGACCATTCCAACCGGGGTGTTGTTTTACAGCTTGTCAGTACTGAAACTGAACCAGGTAAAGAAGCTTATTACTTGATCTCATGTGTGAGCCTCACTAGTTTTATACGTCTTTTGAAATAAAGCCTCACACCTGAATGAATACAAGTGGTTAAATTAAGAACAAACGTACGCAATGCTATTTAAGATGATATATGAGATCAAACAGAGATTAACATATTAATAATTACTATTGCATCTGTTGGGGATGCGGATTTTGGATTTTGGATTTTGGATTTTCTTTTCTTTCTCTTATGTGTTTGTTTTTGTTGAAACATCATTTTGGCTTTTTCCCGTACTTGTTTCAAACAAAGAATCAACGAAGCCAAAACTGAGCTACGAAGCTGTACTAGATTGGTCCAAGGATCTAAAACTGAGAGAGAAGTGCTGATCAGAAAAGCACTTATCAAGTTAAATTTATGGTGGATTCAAAATTTGGGATGCCAGGAGCCATCACGGTGAGTAACAGATATGAGGAGGAGTTTTATTTGTATAGCGTCAACATTGAAGGTGGTGTGCATATTGCCTGCAACTGCAACTCTTAGGTTCAACAAGCTGATGGGTCCCCAAAAGAATCTTCTTCTCTACTAAGGCACATACATACATAAATATACACAGAGACACACATTACAATACCAAGATATATATTATATTTATATATAGATCATATACTCATTAGTCCGACTTACACCCGTTCTTTATGTCAATATATGTTACCGGTAATGTGTCAATATCATTATAGCCAACATGCTATATAGTATCGATACATTATGTGTCTGTTTAAAGAGCAGATGTTCTTCACAAAAAATTCATGTATAACTCAAGGTCATGTGACTTTGTATGATATATGTAAATGTAATTTTGCAGGCTTACCTACCAAGTGAGACACCAGCAGGGCTAAAAGAGCCGAGAGAGATGGAGCTAGAACAGCTGAGGGGTGATGGGAAAGGACTTAGAATGCCATTTGATAGAATATACGACTGACATCTACAATGACATTGGAAATCCAGATGAGGGAGTTGAATTCTCCCGACCAATTCTTGGAGGCCACAAGAATCCGTATCCTAGACGTTGTCGAACTGGACGCCCTCCAACCAGTACAGGTACGGAGAGTGATTGACTGGTACTTGATACCAATGCACGTATATGGTACATTGTCAATATTTTATCATGATTACCAAATATCGACCTACATGATAGAGCATCAAAACGAAATCTCGACAATGTCACAAGTACCATAGACTGATTTCCCTATTGAAACAATAAAAGGGTAATTCAATTGTTTTGGGCCGAAAAAGGGTATTCAACCTTATACGATTAGTTTTGATATACATGTCTATGCAACAGATGAGAAAATAGAGTCCTCGTTAAACGAATCGACGGCATTTTACGTGCCGAAAGACGGAGAGTTTGAAGAGTCCAAAACGCAAGCTCTCGAGCTAGGGAAGTTGAAGGGAATTCTCCGGCATATAATTCCTACCCTTACAACCATTTCCGGCGACAACAAAGTTTTCGAGTGGTCCTCAGACAAAATTGGTTTGTTTAAAGACACGTCTTCACCAGAGCCTTTGAACAAAGTTCAAGAATTCCTCAGATTTGGACGTCCAAAATTGTTATGTCGTAAGCATCATTTTATTTGAGTGAACATGATCATGAAGCCATGAATGTTTCTAAAATCTCACTCCAATTTCAGGAGCAACATCTTCTTGGTTGGAAGACGACGAATTTGGACATCAAGTATTGCCGGCATAAACCCTCTGAGCATCGAAAGGCTTACGGTTTTCCCCACCTGTAAGCAAATTGAACCCCTCCATTTATGGTTCACAAGAATCGGCACTCAAGGAGGAACATATAACAGGCCATCTCAACGGCATGTCCGTACAACAGGTACGACGACGAAGGAAAAAATAGTTGAAAGACATGGATTACTTCATATAAAACACAGGAAAGGTTCACCAAAGTGCATACATGGTTGTGTGTCGCAGGCATTAGAAGAAAACAAACTGTTCATACTAGACTATCATGACATTTTCCTTCCATTTCTAGACCAAATAAACGCTTTCGATGATCAAAAAGCTTATGGAACGCGTACAATTTTGTTCTTGACGTCAATGGGAACGTTAAAGCCTATTGCTATAGAACTCAGCTCTTCTGCAACCAATTCAGTTTCACCATCTAAGCAGGTTCTCACTCCTCCAGTTGATGCTACAACAAATTGGCTTTGGCAGCTCGGTAAAGTCCATGTATGCTCCAACGACGCCTGCGTTCATCAACTGGTTCACCACTGGTATGCACACCGATTACCTTAATTTTTGATAATATGCAAACATGCCACAACCTGAAACTTGATGACTGAACCAGGTTACGCACTCACGCCTGCATGGAGCCATTCATAATAGCAGCCCACCGGCAGCTGAGTGTGATGCATCCAATTTACAAGCTTCTCAGTCCTCACATGCGGTACACCTTGAAGATAAATGCAATGGCCCGTCAGTTTCTCATCAATGCCGGAGGGATAGCATGGAGATTAGTTGTGCTGCTTATCGAGATTGATGGCACTTTGACCTTCAGGGCCTTCCTGCAGATCTCATCAGAAGGTTTGATTGAAGTTCTCTCAAGTTTGATTGAAGTTCTCTCAATTTATATATCTATCATCACTGAACTGTAAATTCTTCATCTCCAGCAGTGGACAGCTTACTAACTTTATCATCATTTCTGCATAGAGGAATGGCAATACCGGACTCTACCCAAGTCCACGGGATACGTCTACTGGTCGAAGATTACCCTTATGCAACAGATGGACTCCTTATATGGTCGGCAATGGAGACATTGGTTCGGACATATGTCGATTACTACTATCCTGATGCAAGTGTGGTTCATTGTGATACAGAACTCCAGGCGTGGTACAACGAGTCAATCAATGTAGGCCATGGCGATCTTCACCATGCTAGCTGGTGGCCGAAACTCTCAACTCCAGATGATCTTATCTCCATCCTCACCACCATGATTTGGGTCTCATCAGCACAGCACGCAGCACTAAACTATGGGCAATATCCATATGGTGGGTATGTCCCGAACCGCCCACCACACATGCGGAGACTATTGCCGCAGGAGCATGATCCAGAGTATGCTGCTTTCATTAGAGATCCACAGAAATACTTTCCATCATCCCTGCGAGGTTTATTTGAAGCAACGAAGTACATGGCTATAATAGATATCCTTTCAACGCACTCACCGGATGAGGTATATATCGGGGGGAGAAAAGACTTGTCAACCTGGTCAGCTGACATGGTGATCACCGAGGCATTCTACAGATTTTCAATGGAGATGAAGCAGATTGAGAAAGAGATTGAACAAAGAAATGCCGACTTAAACCTTCGGAACAGATGTGGGGCTGGAGTATCTCCATACCAGCTGCTCATGCCAAGCTCAGAACCAGGGATTACGTGCAGAGGAGTGCCGAATAGTATATCAATCTGAGGCTAATGAAACAAACAGTACTTCCTCAACTAGATTTCTAGCAGTTCAGTAATCCAGTTCATGAGAAGAAGCAGATTTGCAATCCCAAATAGCACAATTCCAACAAAAACCATAATGCATCAGGAGTATGCAGATACAATCACGGCTAGAGATACCGGCCAGAGACGAAAAACTTAAAACCCCTTTAACTTCCTGTAAATCCAAATTCCCATTCCACACATTTTAACTGCCTTCAAGATTCAAGACACACACGCTTACGATCATCAGCTGATAAGTTCGAGCCTTCAAGGCAATGTTTTATCAGTCACCAAGTCATATGCTTTAATATAAACAAAAACGACACACCTGGACATAGCCAAGTTAGCTAGAGCAATGTACTCACCCCACTACACAAGAGTCCGGATTTTCCTTGATTTTCCTCCCGCAGTTTCAGCTTCGTTTAGATTAGAATATCGCTCGAATAAACAAAAATTGCATGGCATATGAACAAAAATGACCACCAAGGGATGATGTGTTTCAACTTTGATTATCCACAAAAGTAAATATGTACAACAAAGATGACCAATATTCCACTAACATGTAACAGAACCAAAAAGCAAATTAACAACATATAACAAAACAAGAAGCCGTAAATAACAAGGAAGAAGAGGGGCTTAGTCGTACTTTTCTCTCCAGGAGAAAACAAGGAAGAAAACCCAAGACGCAGCCAGCAAGACGTCTCCGACCGTCTGCCTCAGCCAGTCCCAGGCAAGGTCCTCCACCCGCCGCTCGAAGTAGCACCGCCACAGCGCCATGGAAACGTGGAGCACCGTGCACCCCTTGGCGAAGAAGCTCTGGAACTCGCGATCCTTCACGAAGGAGACCATGAGCAGCAGGAAGCCGATCGCGAAGAGGAGGAGGCCGGAGAAGGAGTCGCAGGTCCGAATCAGGAGCTGGTCGTGGGGGGTGGACCCCATCAGCTTCTGGGCGGTCTCGGTCCCGTGCCCGAAGGTGTAGACCTCCGTCATGTAGAACATCATGAGGGCTCCGCAGGATATGGCGATTAGGGAGTGGAGGAGGCAGATGACGAAGAAGGCCGACGACGGCGCCGGCGATGACATCGATCAATCGGACGGCTGGGATCGAGTTATCGAGGTGTCGGGGCCGGCGATGACATTGATCAACCCTTGGTTTCTGAGAAATTGGGAAGAAGGTGAAGGAGAAAAATAATTAATTGATAACGTTTTTCAAATTTTATTTTCTTTTTTGGGTTTAATTTTTAATTCAGGAGAGAAAAGAAATGTGTTCTTGCTTTTGTTGTTGGATAAGGGTCCGGTGGGACCCGGATGGGGTCCATTTTGTCTTGGGATGGAAACGTGGCGAGATCCTAGCGGTGCCGACAGATTCCAACTGGGACCTACTGATTCAATTCGGTTGAGCTAAAGATTATAAGAACATCTTGTCTACTTACTGACCATATAACAAATAAGAACACTTTTCGGTTTGAAGATTGGGTGGTATATCCTTACATTCATTTTTATCGCTAACTTTTTGTTTTTGATTTTTTTTCAATTCTTTTGTTTCGATAAAATTGAGAGGAAAGTGTAAAAGGTAAAAACGGGTCGGAAGATATTTTTGAAGAATCATCCTCTTGCTTCTCTTTTGCGTAATTTTCTTGAGATTTTGAACCAATTTGAATATTCTCAGCTCAAGCATAGTTACAGAGAGAATAATTCTGTTACAGACTGTCAGCCAATTGGAGCTGCAACATTGATAATTTGATATGGGCTTTTGTTTTCTTGAAGAATCTCTGTTTTTTAACTGTTCGAAACCAAACCCCCACCATTGATAGAAATAAAATTTCAAATATAAAATTGTAAAACGAGCTCAAGAACACGATGTGCGTCGTCTTAACTTACTAACTGGTGTCCACATGTTTGATTGACAATAGAAAAACACAAATGTTGTTTATCTTTACCTTTTCAGATTAAGAATTAAAGGCAAAAAAATAAAGGGGAGGAGGAAAGTAGATTAATTCTGTAACTTTCTTAACTTTATTGATTTTTCAAATTAAGAGACATCGACGAGTATATAATTTTGGCTGGGGGTACAATGGTAATTAAGGAACAAAATGGGGCACTACATATGAGGGAGATTTTGGTAGCAACCCATATTTTTCATAATTTATTTGGAAAAATTATACTTTTATATATACAACAAAAAATTGAGTAAAAAAACTGAGACAATATTCCAAAAGGTAGAAAGAATGAGGAGAAAGCCGCTCCATGTTGAAGCAGAGCTAGGACACTCTCATCTTGCACAAATCCTCCGTAACCGCCGCCCCGCCGCCGGAAGGGGGAGGTCTAAAGAATGATGTAACTTTCTTGAACAAAACTTTTAACTTGAATCAATGTCTCTAGCACCGGCAACGATTTTGCGGTGACGTCTAGAGCCCGACCTTCTATCTCTCCCACGCCTTGGAGGCCTCTTACCTGGGGCTTTTACAATGCTCTCGGGTGAAGTTTCGGTTGATGGTTTAACTGGTGGTTCGTTACTTAAAGCTGGGGGTGACGGTGGTGGTGGTAATAGCGGTGGTGGAGGAACAGCCTTAGGAAGAGGAGGAGCCATGTGTTCCAATACATCTCTATGATATTTCTGTAGACAGTGAAAAACACACATAAATGCATCGAGGAACATGAGAAAGAGAGAATCGAAATGCAATAGCACCCAGAAACCCCCATGCATCCCTCCCAAGGAAAAAAAACCCGTACTTCCAAAACATATACATGCGTACCTGAACAACAAAATTGCGCCTTTCACAGTCGTAGAACATATTGATAGTCCAGTTTGTCTTTTCCCGAATGTGGTCTCTCACTGTGGAAAAACTAATCTGATCCCTGGAAGTAAAACGATCAACTTCATGGAACCAAAGACAAGCGGCAAGGTTGCTGATAGGGACATGCTCCCTTATTATAACACATCCTTCAGGAACGTCTGCAGCAAGACCAAAACAAGAAAACCTAGTAAAGCGAAACATACACGAAATGTTTTAACAGAGTGAAGGTCCACCTACCACTTGTAATGGGAAGCTTTTCCTCAGAATATGGGGTCAAACCTTCCTTTTTGTAAAATTCAACCTGAAAGTCAATAGAGGCATTGTCGTATTTTCCAGCAGCTTTATTTGCCTCAGCTTCAGTAAACACGTCAAAGCGTTTATAATGTCTAGAAATTGCAAAAGTTGCATTCTTTCTCCACAAGAACCTGAAATATAGGTTAAATTTAAGGGATGTATCAGCATGAATGCTTGTAAAAGCAGGCTGAATAAGGCTTGCGTAAAAGAGCAAAGCCCCTTCCGTGTACTGGGTACACAATTGCTTTTCAATCTGATGTTTCGTATCCAAATGATAGGAGTACATAAATGGACAGGATCTAACATAAGTTTAGTAAGACTCAAATATCTTGTCATGTTTGAGCGGGTTTCATCCATACCGGAGAATCATTTTGATTTTATTCGCACAAATGTGAATGGTGGGGCAAACGTAAGGGACAGTCAAATAGGGGAAAGCAGCTTTCAGGACTCAAAGCACTAACTGGAAAGCGATTTTGTAAGTTAAGCAAAGCATATGATAATATATCAATGTGCCACAGTTAGACATGGTTGTAAGCTGCTAAATTGCATCTGAAAGAGGTAACCAGGAAATTGAACAAAAGATATCATATTACAAATGAACTTGTTTGACAACATTACTATGATGGTGGTATTTTGCATCTGGGCATTTGGATGTTTCTTCAAAGCAGACTTGCCAAAATGTTACACTGATGATATTCCATACTCAAGGGTAATTTTCGAAAAACAAAAATTACGAAGACCTATTTATCATGATAGAAAGTGAAAGACTAAGCTGTAATATTTTTTTTTGGGTGAAAAAAATAACCTATAAATAAATTAAGAAGGCTAGATATTTGTGAAACTTTCAATCAGATATACCTTTCAAGAATTTGATATGGATCCACGACAAGTTCAAGTTTCCCATCGATCCATAAGGAAAAGCGTGCATTAGGAAACATCCTATGCACTAAAAGCTTAGGAATCTGCAAAAGATGTAATCTGCGTCAAAGTTATGTCAAGGTACTATAAATGTACACAAAACAGAGCATTCTGCAAAGAAAGCCCCATTATCTTAGTGACACATTTAAATGCACAGAAACACAACCATTCACACTGTACTCATTTGTTCCTTTAAGAGAAGCTTAATGATATCTTACATGTTCCCAAATAATTTTAATGTCCACTTAAGATCAAAATCTTGCACAACATGATAAACACCTGTCTACAGATAATTCATAACCAAAGAGCCAATTCAGGCAACCATTCCCAAGACAACTCTGCTCTAGAGTTGATAAAATTTGCTTGCAAAAAATTAGAAATCTTACCTTCCCAGTGCGCCTTCCATCCGTGTAAGGAGGGTTATGCACAACCACAGTTCTCCATATACCAACTTTCCTATCGCTGCCCATTTTCCCAGATGTTCTCAAGTAAGTTTCTGTCACATCATCTATAAACATGTAGAAGCAAACGGTCTCCTTGGAATAATCACTAATCTTCCTTGGCTGGTTTATCTCATCAAAATTTCCTGATGAAAACAAATTCAACTGATAAGGAATCCACCATATATATGTAACAGAAAGTTTAATTCACATTATACTGCATATTACCAAATATAGCTGATGCAACAACCACTCCATTACACTGCTCCATATCATTTAGGTCAATCTCATCCAGATCATATCCAGTATTCCGGCCAGGTTTACTTCCTCTAACAAATCTGATTGATGCTCAAATCCGTCAAGCAAAATGCACAATAAACTTAAATGAGTGAAAGGCCAATGGAAGCTCATTAATATAAGACTAACTAATTCAAAAAACAAAAATCAGGTATGAAAAATAAAAACAGAAAACTTGACCAAGGTAAAGCAAAAAGGGAGAAACACATACCCACAGTGCACACTCATTGACTCTCTTATATCATACGAATCACTCCTTTGCTTCAATGTAGGATATCCACCAAACTCTGAGCCTCCAAATTCTGTTTTTCTAGATAAATTTTCTTCATAAATGTATGTTAAATTCTTCAGAACTGGAGAATATGAAGGGACCTTGGGCATCAAGGCTATGGCTTCTTCCACAGGAAGGTAACATACTGGACAAGCTGAAAAGTAAAGAAGGAATAAAACTCAGCAACATCACGAGTTGTTAACCTATCTCAGTGCCAAATATTCCTGCCATCTTAAGTTTAAGTAATGCAAAATAGTTTACTCCAGAGAAGAGGAAAATCTAGCATAACCAAAAACAAAGAAAATGTAGAAACTTACGTCGTGGTCCAGTTCTTTTTTTATCTGCTGGTGGGGGAGGCAAAGTGAATGTATTACATGGATGTCCAGGAGGAAGAGTGTAACCCAGAAAAACAGCAGGAGGAGGAGGAGGCAACGCCAGCAAAAAAGTCATGTTGTTACTTTGAGGTCCATGTTTTCGCGAGGATTCAGAAAAACTTGAAGTGATGCTGTTGTTAACACTAATGTTTCCGACATTGACAACATCTTGTCCGTCTTCACCTATGTATGAGCAGATAAGCGTATATTACTTACTCAAGGAAACATCTTTTAGTCTAAGAAATGAACTTAGTATGAGGAATTTCAACTAAAAGAAGATTTTTTTACTACCAGATAAGGAAGCCAATACTAATGCAGATAAAAATTCATTCCACACTGTCATACTAGCTTAATCAATTTGCTAAGACTAATCTTTTGCTCTCAATTGATAACTAGCATTCGACCCAATCACTTCCCCAGCTTCAAATTCGAACTCAATCAACTAACACAGAAGAATAATTATATCCAAATCAACTAGGATCAACTCAAACAACCCAATACCCTCATCAATAGATACAACTCAAACAGAACCAAATTAACTTATAAAAAGAATCAAGCATGCACAGGAAACCGAATGCCGAACCTTTTCCAACGTACAAAACCCAGACAAAAACCGCGGCGGAGATGAGGCAGAGCAGCAGCATTCCAACCTTCTTCCGGCCGGCAAACTTGCAGATCCAGTGGAACAACCTCTCCTTCTCCTTGAGCATTTTCGAAGGCTTACGCGCAGATTGGATTGGCAACACTCCGTTGATGCTGTTGATGTTGTTGTGTAGCTG